TTTATTGAGAGTTTTTTAGCATGAAGTGGTGTTGAATTTTATCGAAGGCCTTTTCTGCATTTATTAAGATAATCACATGGTTTTTGTCATTGGTTTGGTTTATGTGATGGATTACATTTATTGATCTGTGTATGTTGAAACAGGCTTACATCCCAGGGATGAAGCCAACTTGATCTTGGTGGATAAGCTTTTTGAGGTGCTGCTGGATTCAGTTTGCCAGTTTTTTATTGAGGATTTTCACATTGCTGTTTATCAGGGATATTGGGCTAAAATTTTCTTTTTTTTGTTGTGTCTCTGCCAGGTTTTGGTATCAGGATGATGCTGACCACATACAATGAGTTAAGGAGGAGTCCCTCTTTTTCTGTTGTTTGGAATAGTTTCAGAAGGAATGGTACCAGCTTCTCTTTGTACCTCTGGCAGAATTCAGCTGTGACTCCATCTGGTCCTGGGCTTTTTTTGGTGGGTAGGCTATTAATTACTGACTCAGTTTCAGAACTTGTTATTGGTCTACTCAGGGATTTGACTTCTTCCCAGTTTAGTCTTTGGAGGGTGTATGTGTCCAGGAATTTATCCATTTCTTCTAGTTTTTCTAGTTTATTTGTGTAGAGGTGTTGATAGTGTTCTCTGATTGTAGTTTGTATTTCTGTGGGATCAGCGGTGATATCCCCTTTATCATATTTGATTGTGTCTATTTGATTCTTCTCTCTTTTCTTTATTAGTCTGGCTAGTGGTCTATTTTGTTGATCTTTTAAAAAAATCAGCTCCCGGATTCATTGATTTTTTTTTTGTTGTTGAAGGATTGTTTATGTCTCTGTCTCCTTCAGTTCTGTCTGATCTTAGTTATTTCTTGTCTTCTGCTAGCTTTTGAATTTGTTTGCTCTTGCTTCTCCAGTTCTCTTAATTGTGATGTTAGGGGGTTGATTTTAGATTTTTCCTGCTTTCTCCTATGGGCATTAATTTTCTATAAATTTCCCTCTAGACACTGCTTTAGTAGTGTCCCAGAGATTCTGGAGCATTGTGTCTTTGTTCTTGTTGGTTTCAAATAACTTACTTACTTCTGCCTTAATTTTGTTATGTACCCAGTAGTGGTTCAGGAGCAGTTATTCGGTTTCCGTGTAGTTGTGTAATTTTGAGTGAGTTTCTTAATCCTGAGTTCTAATTTGATTGCTCTGTGGTCTGAGAGACTGTTTGTTATGATTTCTGTTCTTTTGCATTTGCTGAGGAGTATTTTACTTCCAAATATGTGGTCAATTTTAGAGTAAATATGGTGTGGTGCGGAGAATAATGTATATTCTGTGAAGTTGGGCTGGTAAATTCTGCAGATGTCTAGTAGGTCCACTTCGTCCAGAGCCGAGTTCAAGTCCTGAATATTCTTGTTAATTTTCTGTCTTGTTGATCTGTCTAATATTGACAGTGGGGTGTTGAAGTCTTCCACTGTTATTGCCTGGGAGTCTAAGTCTCTTTGTAGGTCTCTGAGAACTTGCTTTGTGAATCTGGGTGCTCCTGTATTGGGTACATAGATATTTAGGATAGTCAGCTCTTGTTGCATTGATCCCTTTATCATTATGTAATGTCCTTCTTTGTCTTTTTTGATCTTTTGTTGGCTTAAAGTCTGTTTTATCAGAGACTAAGATTGTGACTCCTGCTTGTTTTTGCTTTCCATCTGCTTGGTAAATATTCCTCCATCCCTTTATTTTGAGCCTGTGTGTGTCTTTGCCCGTGAGATGGGTCTCCTGAATATAGCACACTGATGTCTTGACTCTATCCAATTTTCCAGTCTGTGCCTTTTAACTGGGGCCTGTAGTCAATTTACATCTAAGGTTAATACTGCTATATGTGAATTCGATCCTGTCATTTTGATGCTAGCTGGTCGTTTTGCCTGTTAGTTGGTGCAGTTTCTTCATAGTGTTGATGGATGGTCTTTACAATTTGGTATGTTTTTGCAGTGGCTGGTATCCGTTCTTCCTTGTTTAGTGCTTCCTTCAGGAGCTCTTGTAAGGCAGGCCTGGTGGTGACAAAAATCTCTCAGCAGTTGCTTATCTGTGAAGGATTTCATTTCTCCTGTGCTTATGAAGCCTACTTTGACTGGATATGATTCTGGGTTGAAATTCTTTTCTTTAAGAATGTTGAATATTGGCCCCCACTCTCCTTTGGCTCGTAGGGTTTCTGCAGAGAGATCCACTGTTAGTCTATTGGGCTTCCCTTTGTGGGTAGCACAACCTTTCTCTCTGGCTGCCCTTAACATTTTTTCTTTCATTTCAACCATGGTGAATCTGACAATTATGTGTCTTGGGGTTGCTCTTCTCAAGGAGTGTCTTTGTGGTGTTCTCTGTCTTTCCTGAATTTGAATGTTGGCCTGTCTTGCTAGGTTGGGGAAGTTCTCCTGGATAATATCCTGAAGAGTGTTTTCCAGCTTGGTTCCATTCTCCCCGTCACTTCCAGGTACTCCAGTCAAATGTAGGTTTGGTCTTTTCACACAGTCCCATATTTCTTGGAGGCTTTGTTTATTTCTTTTCATTTTTTTTTCTCTAATCTTGTCTTCACACTTATTTCATTAAGTTGACCTTCAATATCTGATATCCTTTCTTCCACTTAATCGACTTGGCTATTGATGCTTGTGCATGCTTCATGAAATTTTCTGTGTTTTTCAGCTCCATCAGGTCATTTATGTTCTTCTCTAAACTGGTTATTCTAGTTAGCAGTTCCTCTAACCTTTTTAAAAGGTTTTTAGCTTCCTTGCATTGGGTTATAACATGCCCCTTTAGCTTGGAGGAATTTGTTATTACCCACTTTCTGAAGCCTACTTCTGTCAATTAGTCAAACTCATTCTCTGCCCAGTTTTGTTTCCTTGCTGGCAAGGAGTTGTGATCCTTTGGAGGAGACGAGGCATTCAGGTTTTTGGAATTTTCGGCCTTTTTGCCCTGTTTTTTCCTCATCTTCTTAGATTTATCTATCTTTGGTCTTTGATGTTGATGACCTTTCGATGGGGTTTCTGGCATTTCTGTGTGGATGTCCTTTTCGTTGATGGTGATGCTGTTCCTTTCTGTTTGTTAGTTTTCCTTCTAGCTGTCAGGCCCTCTGCTGCAGGTCTGCTGGAGTTTGCTGGAGGTCCACTCCAGACCCTGTTTGCCTGAGTATCACCAGTGGAGGTTGCAGAACAGCAAAGATTACTGCCTGCTCCTTCCTCTGAAAGCTTTGTCCTAGAGGGGCACTGCCACATGCCAACCAGAGCACTTCTGTATGAGGTATCTGTTGACCCCTGTTAGGGGGTGTCTCCCGGTCAGGAGGCCTGGGAGTCAGGGACCCACTTGAGGAGGCAGTCTGTCTCTTAGCAGAGCTCAAGTGCTATGCTGGGAGATCTGCTGCTCTCTTCAGAGCCGGCAGGAATGTTTAGGTCTGCTGAAGTTGTGCCCACAGCTGCCCCTTCCCCTAGGTGCTCTGTCCGAGGGAGATGGGAATTTTATCTATAAGCCCCTGACTGGGGCTACTGCCTTTCTTTAGAGATGCCCTGCCCAGAGAGGAGGAATCTAGAGAGCCAGTTTGGCTACAGAAGCTTTGTGGAGCTACAGTGGGCTCTGCCCAGGTCAGACTTCCTGGCAGCTTTGTTTACACTGTGAGGGGAAAACTGCCTACCGAAGCCTCAGTAATGGTGGACGCCCCTCCCCACACCAAGCTTGAGCATCCCAGGTCGACCTCAGACTGTTGTGCTGCCAGTGAGAATTTCAAGTCAGTGGATCTTAGCTCACTGGGCTCCTTGGGGCTGGGATCCACTGAGCTAGACCACTTGGCTCCCTGGCTTCAGTTTCCTTTTCAGGGAGTGAACAGTTCTGTCTCACTGGCGTTCCAGGCCACTGGGTATGAAAAAGAATTCCTGCAGCTAGCTCAGTGTATGCGCAAATGGCTACCCAGTTTTGTGGCTGAAACCCAGGGCCCTGGTGGTGCAGGCTCCAGACGTAGTCTCCTGGTCTACAGGTTGTTAAGACCATGGGAAAAGTCTAGTATCTAGGCTGGAGTGTACCGTTCCTCATGGCAGAGTCCCTCTTGGCTTCCTGTGGCTAGGGGAGGGAGTTCCCTGACCCCTTGCACTTCCTGAGTGAGGCGATGCCCTACCCTGCTTCAGCTCACCCTCCATGGGCTGCACCCACTGTCTAACTAGTCCCACTGAGATGAGCCCGGTACCTCAGTTGGAAATGCAGAAATCACCTGCTGTCTGCATAGCTCTTGCTGGGAGCTGCAGACTGGATTTGTTCCTATTGAGCCATCTTCTAATTTTTGTATTTTTAATAGAAATGGGGTTTTGCCATGTTGGCCAGGCTGGGCTTGAACTCCTGACCTCAGGTGATCCGTTTGCCTCAGCCTCCCAAAGTGTTGGGATTACAGGCATGAGCCACTGTGCCCAGCCAAGTTTGCCATCTTTATAGAATGGGACACTAAAGAAATCTGAGCACTACTCTGTCCTGTAAAGAACTGGGCTTCAGGTAGGGCAAAGAGAGGATGGCGTTTGGGTAAGATATGACAGTGAGATGTGGAATGATTGTTTTGCTGCTTGTTTGCAGATCTTGGGCAAATCCATGTTGCTGACGGTTAGTTTTTTTTTTTTTAACCTGGTAATATTAGGTGGTTGCAGGGACTGGTATAAGGAATGATTAGTCTGTTTTCTGTTAAGCTGGTCACAGCTGGCCTAAGAGCTTTCAGAGCCTTAGTTCTAGATGATATCAAGATGGTTCACGTAAGCTGGGCATGGTGGCACATGCCTTTAGTCCCACATACTTGGGAGGCTGAGGTGGGAGGACTGCTTGAGCCCAGGGGTTCAAGGCTGCAGTGAGCTATGATTGCACCATGCATTCCAGCCTGGGCGACACGGTGAGACCCTGTCTCTTAACAGTAACAAAGTAGTTTCGGTAAAGATGTAGAAGATGCCATCTTATGCAGGTTTGTTCCATTTTCTGGGTTCTGCAGTCTTGATCATCCTGACGCTCTGTTTCATGTTTCTGTTACAGATGTTGCTGCCATAGCATGTGGTCGTGAGTTCCTGGTTAATTCAAGCCGGGTGCTCCTGGACACCATATTGCAGCTTCTGGGAGACCTGAAGCCAGGACAGTGCACCAAACTCAAAGTGTATGGTGGATAACGTTACAAAGTTCATTCTATTTACAGTTCATTAGAATGTGCCGACTGGGCCTTTCTTCAAGTAAACACAGTTAATTTTGGCGGTAGTTCTAAAAACCAGAGGAAATAAATTGCCTGGAGAAGTTAAGGGGGTGCACTCTCTTAAATAGCAATTTAGGAAAACAGATTTAAGGAAGGAATGTACTCGCCTTAGAGCAATCGGTGAGCCCCAAATACTATCCTATGATACTTCATGGTTATGTCAAAATGAATTTACATAGGTCTTTGTTATGGTAGCTCTCCACCTCCAGGTACTAAAATCTGTATTTGTTTTCTATTGTTATGTAACAAATCATCACCAACTTGGTGGCTGAAACACCATTTATTATTTCATAGTTTGGTAAGTCAGAAGTCTGAGTGGGTTTGAGGGCTTCTCTGCATAGGCCAGAATTGAGGCGTTTTCCAGGCTGGGATCTTTTTGGAGACTCTGGGGGAGAAATCCGCTTCTGGGCACTTTGACGTTGCTGGCAGAGTCCAGTGTCTTGGTTTCGGGACCGAGTTCCCTTGTCCTGGCTGGCTGGTCAGTTGCGGATCAGCTTCTGGGGCTGCTCGTATTCCTTCGCACGTGGGCCCGTCCTCAAGCCACAGTCGCTCATTGACTCCCTCTGACGTTTCCAGGCTCTGACTTCCTCTTCTGCTACCAGAAGATGAAACTCTGTCTGCTGTTATTCTTTGGTTAAAAATTTACTTCAATAAGGCAAACTCTCTGCTTCATCTGCTTCATATGGATCTGTGTATTTAGATGAGGCGCACCTGGATAAATTCCTTTTGATCAACTCTGAGTCAGCCAGTTAGTAACCCTTAATTACATCCACAGAATCCCCTTTTCCAGGCAATCACGTAATCAGCGTGTGATAATTTATAGTCCCAGAGACTAGGGCAGGAAATTGTGGGGAGAGGGAGCAGGGTGCCACTCACACCATTCATTCTGAGTGTGGCCTTTGACTTCTTAGAGCATCTGTATTTTTTTATTTTTATTTTTAAAGAGACCGGGTCGCTACATACATTGCTCAGGCTGGCCTCAAACTCCTAGGTGTTCCAAGTATTCTTCCACCTCAGCCTCCTGAGTAGCTGGACTATAGGTATGTGCCACCATGCCATGCTGTGGAGCACTTTTTAAAAGTAAGAGCTTCTGTAAAGTCTGTGCCAGATGCTTCCAACATCTGTATCATCCTGGCCTTGGTGTCTCTTGATGGTTTTCTCCCATGTGAGTTGAGATTTCCTGTTTCTTCGTATGCCAAGTAATTTTGGATTTATCCTGGGCATTTATGTGATCACTGGTCTTGTTTAAATCCTTGGAAAATGCTGATGTTTATATTTTCACAGGCAATCAACCTCTTTGGGTCAGATTCCAGCCAGCCTTTTCTGTTTGGTTTCCTGTGCCAGTCGTTTTCAGAGAGCCTTTACAGAGCTATTGGAACTGCCCCCATGAGTGCCGCCCAGTGGCCAGTCTGAGAGCTGGGTGATTGGAGCTGCAGTTCTGAGTCTTTCAGATGCTGTTTGTGATCAGATCCACGCAGCCACACCTTGGGATGAGGCCAGGAGTCTATAAACAACTTTATGGGGTCACTTTTCTGAGCTGTTAACTCTCCGGGTGCATTTTAGTTTAAGTCTCTCACCTGGAATGCTGGGCTCCATATACCCTGCAGTGTCCAAGCGCCTGCAATTTTGCCCTCATCCGGCCCTGCAGCAGGGGTTGAGAAGCTCACAGAGCTCTCAAGTGTAAGGAAAATTCGTTTCCCACAGAGCTTGAGTTACCTGGGGATGCCGCCACTGCGCGTGGTTGCTGGTAGAAGCCCCTTTGCCACTCCTGGAGCGTCACTAGAGACCTTCTCCTGGTGCTCTCCGTGTGGCTCAGTGTTACTTCTGGCTCTTGGAGCTCCTGTGAGTCCAGGCCAGGGACACTAGAGGAAAAAGTGGTAAACTCACTGCTGGTTTAGTGGTTCTTAAATTTTGGTCTTTGCCTATCTGCCTGCTATTGTTTACTTTTCAGAGTCCTCAAATAGCTGCTTCCTATGTTCTCTTTGGAATTTATAGCTGCTTTCAGTGGAAGCAAGACTGGAGAGTGTGTCTAGGCCATCTTATCCAGAACCAAACTTTCTAGTCAATGTTAGTATTTGGTGCTAAAAATCATATGCACTTAAATAATGCACATAATATAGTGTAACATATATGCGTATGTAGTTTTTTTTGAGACAGAGAATGCTCATTTTTAAAGGTTGTTTCTCTTCCAGTCTCATGCAAAAATTTTTCCTCCTTGAAAATACAAGCAACTAATTGCTCCCTCACATCCGGCCTTTCTCATTACTGCAGATTTCTGACCATCCAGACACTTCCCTTGTTCACTGAGTACTGGCTTGTTGGTGTCCCCTTCCCCATTTCCTGCTATCTTGAGTGACTTGAACATGTTTAGGGGTGATTTATTTAACAGTCTAATTTCAAGGTCGATTGCCTTTCTCAGTTCCCCAGATTTGATGTGACTTTGACTGTGGCAGTCGTCTGCCTTGGTCCAGATGCTGCTCATAGTCATGAGGTGGACTGTGCTGTGGGAGACACTGCTGTAGCACCCAGGCCATGCCTCCTCTCCTCCCTGCCTGCCTTCCTACCGTTGTTCCCTCTCAACTGCAGGACGAGCTGCTGCTGATCCTCCTGCTGCTGGTGCTCCTCCTCCTCCTTCTCCTCCTCACACCATTGCCCCCATGGCCCCCTTCCCTCTAGCTCACCAGCCCCAGTGTGCATCATACTTCCTGGTGCTCTCAGCCTTGAACCAGCCCAGCCATCCTCCTCCTCTGTTCCTACAGCTGGGGCTGCTTAGTGAGGTTTGGGAAGGAGCTGCCTCGTGTGCACAGACTTGTCATTCCTCCTGGTCTCCAACCCCCCCGGGATCCTCCTCTATATCCTTTCTCAGCTCCCACTCATTTCCATAGTGGTGGAGACAGACCTTGGTGCGACCGTCACGGCCTCCCTGCTCTGCCCTTCCTGTGCAGGTGGGTGTCCCAGCAGGTAGCTTTACTTCCTGCCGCACAGGGGTGAAGGGGTAAGTGTGGCTGCCTCAGCTTGGCCTTCCCTTGTTTATTCCACTCACCTTTGCTTTTTCCTCTCATTTCAGAGGCACATATGGCTGGGATGTGTGTGTGTGTGTGTGGTGTGGGTGTGGGTGCATATGTGCAAGGTGTGGGTGTGGAGGGGTTGGGATGTATTTTGTGCGTGGTATATGTGTATGTGGGTGTTTTGGGGGTATCTGGTATACATATGGTATGTGTTTGTGTGGGGCATGTTTATGGTGTATGAGGGAATTGTGTGTGTAGTGTGTGTATATATGTTGGGGGGAGGTGGGTGTCGTGTGTGACTGTGTGGTATGTTTGTGTATGTGGGACTAGGGATTTGGATGAGTGTATTTTGTGTGGGGGGAGATGTGGGTGTGGTATGCATTGTGTGTGTGTATGTGAGGAGGATGTGTTTGTGTGGTATGCATATGTTGGATGTTTGTGGTGTGTATATGTGGAGGGTATGGGTATATGTGTTTGTGGGATGTGTGTGGTGTGGGTGTGGGCTGTGTGTGTGTGAGGGTGTTTGGGGTGTGTGTGGAGTGGGGGGAAGTGTGTGGAATATGTGTGGGGAATATGGGTGTGTGGTGTGTGTGTGTGGTGTGGGTGTGGGGGGTGTGGGCTGTGTGCGTGTGAGGGTGTTTGGGGTGTGTGTGGAGTCGGGGGAGGTGTGTGGAATGTGTGTGGGGAATATGGATGTGTGGTGTGTGTGTGTGGTATGTGGTGTGTGGTGTGTGGGTGTGTGGCATGTGTATGGTGTGGGGGTGTGGGCTCTGTCAGCCAAGGCTTGGGGCAGTTAGTGCAGTCAGCTGGTATGTGATGTGTATGGTGTAGGTGTGATGTGTGGTGTGTGGTGTGTGTATGTGGTGTGTGTGGTATGTATATGTTTGGTGTTTGGTATGTGTGATATGCATATGGTGTGTGTGGTGTGTGTGATTGTGTGTGGTGTGGTATGTGCGTGGTGTGTATGTGTGTGGTGTGTATGGTGTGCTGTGTGTGGTGTATGTATGGTGTGTGGTGTTTGTGCAGTGTGTGTTGGTGTTTGTGCAGTGTGTGTTGGTGTTTGGTGAATTGTGTGGTTTGTGTGGTGTGTGGTGTGTGTGTTGGTGAGTGTGTGGTGTGTGGTGTGGGTGTGGTGGGTGTGTGGTGGCTGTGTGATGTGTATGATGTGTGTGGTGTGTGTGGTGTTTGGGTATTGTGTGGTGTGTGTGGTATGTGTTGGGTGTGTGGGGTGATGTGTATGTGATATGTGTTTGATATGTGTGATTTGTCTGTGGTGTGCATGCAGTGTGTGGGTGTATGTGTTGGTGTGTGGTGTGGTGTGAGTGGTGTGTGTGGTGTGTGTGTGGTGTCTGATTTGTGTGTGGTGTGTGAGTGGCGTGTGACTGGGTGGTATGTGATTGTGTGTGGTGTCTGATTTGTGTGTGGTGTGTGGGTGGTGTGTTGGTGTGTCTGATTTGTGTGTGGTGTGTGGGTGGGTGGTGTGAGTGGGTGTGGTGTCTGTGTGTGGTGTGTGGGTGGTATGTTGTATGTGTGTGGTGTGTGTGGTTGTATGTGTGTGGTGTGTGTGATTGTGTGTGGTGTGGTATGTGCGTGGTGTGTATGTGTGGCGTATATGGTGTGGTGTGTGTGGTTGTATGTGTGTGGTGTGTGGGTGGTGGGTGGGTGGTGTGTGTGTGTGTGATGTGTGAGTGGGTGGTGTGTTGGTGTGGTGTCTGATTTGTGTGTGGTGTGTGGGTGGGTGGTGTGAGTGGGTGTGGTGTCTGTGATTTGTGTGTGGTGTGTGGGTGGTATGTTGTATGTGTGTGGTGTGTGTGGTTGTATGTGTGTGGTGTGTGTGATTGTGTGTGGTGTGGTATGTGCGTGGTGTGTATGTGTGTGGTGTATATGGTGTGCTGTGTG